GTTTAATCTACTTTTATCAGTAGATAAATTTATTGGATTTATATGTATGTATTTTGACTTCAGAGTTAGGCTGGCTTCCTAAAATGAGTTGGGAAGCTTTCCCTTTTTTTCTCTTCTCTGAAAAAGTTTTGTAACTTAGGGATTATGTGCTCCTTGAAGGAAATGTATGTAATGCCTAAGGTGAAAAATAAAGTTTCTAGAAGAAATCATAGAAAAATATCTACATGACCCCATGGTAGGCAGAGGTTTTTTAAAACAGGACACAATAAGTAACAGAAAAGACAGGACTGATAAGTTAGTTTTTCATTAAATAAGTACTGCTCATCAAAGGATACTATTAAGAGAATGAAAAGGCAAGTGACACAGTGGAGAAAGTGACAGCAATACTTATATCTGACAGAGGACTTGTATCCAGAGTCTATGAAAACTCTACGAGCCAATAATAAAAATTAAAAAACACAGGCAACCCAGTTTTAAAACACATGGGCAAAAGACCAGAACAGGCATTTATAAAATGAATTTGTCCATGTGGCCAAGGTGAAAACGTACTCACACATAGTTTTAATTTGCAATTTTCTGAAAATTATCGTGTGATGCCACTACATACCCACCAGAAATGGTGTTAATGAAGAAGTCTGAAAATACTGTGTTGACAAGAATGAAGAGCACTTGGGACATACATACATTTTAGGGGGATTTGAAAATTGGTACAGACACTTTGGAAAATTGTGTGTAAAGCTCTACATGTGTCTGCCCTATGATCCATCAGTTCTACTTCTTGGTATAGACGCAGTAAAAGGCAATATATATGTGCATCAAAAGACATGGACTTACAGAAGAAAGCATAGGGATAAAATTTCACGACCTTGGAATAGGCAAGAGATTCTTAGATATGGCACCAAAAACAGGAACAACAAAACAAAAATGAGCTAAATTGAATTTCATCAAAATTTAAAACTTGTGCTTCAAAGGACACCATCAAGAAACTGAAAAGACAACCCACAGAATGAGAAAATACTTGCAAATCAAATACCTGGTAAAAGACTTGCATCCAGAATATATTAAGAACTCTTAACAACTCAATAATAAAAATGCAGTCCAATTTAAAAATGGGCAGAGGATCTGAATAGGCATTTCTCAAAGAAGATATACAATAAGCACATGAAAAGATGCTCAAAATCATTAGCTTTAAGGGAAATGAAATCAACCATAATGAGATACCCCTTCACACTGCTAGAATGGCTCAAATCAAAAAGTTAGATGAGAACAAGTATAGACAAGTACATTGAGAAATTGGATCCCTCATACACTGATAGGAATGTAAAATTATATAGCTGCTTTGAAAGACAGTATGGCAGTTCTTCAGATGATTAAACGTAGAGTTAGCATATGACCGAGCAATTCCTTTCCCAGATAGATACCTAAGGGAAATGAAAACATGTCCCCACAAAAATTGTTCATGAATATTTACAGCAGCATTATTCATAGTAGGTAAAAAGTAGAAATAACCCAAATGTCCATACTCCAACAAGTGGATAAACAAAATATGGTATAGCCATACAGTGGATTGGTATTTAGCTCTTAAAAGGAGTAAGGTACTGGTGCATTCTACGTAATCAGTAAATCTTGAAGACGTTGTGCTAGGGAAAAGAAGCAGTCACAGAAGGTCGCATATTACATGATTCCATTCATATGAAATGAGCAGAGCAGGGAAATCTGTAGAGATAGGAAGTAGATTAGTGGTTGCTTGAGGTTGAGGGTAGGAAATGGGGAGGTCTAAAAGGTATGGGTTTTATGCTTTAAATAGGTGAATTGTATGGTTTGTGAATTATATCTCAAAGCTGTTAAAAAAAACAAGACATGACAAAAATAATTAGTGATATGAGGACATTGCCACTATATTTAATTGAGGAAAGCAAGATTCAGAGGAATAAATAAAATATCCCATCTTTATAAAACAGTGAAAACTCTGTGTGTGTGTGTGAGTTTTCTTATAAGGTTGGGAAATGATGCACACCAAATGTAAAAGTTTGTACCTGTTTGGGCAAAGGTAAGAAGAAGAGGGAGAGAAACAAGGGAGAAAATAATGGAAAAGGGGTTGATTTAGGAAAAAACAGCATTTATGACATACTTTGAGTTATGTAAAACATAAATCTCAAATGAAAATGGTAGTGGTCTATGAGTTGAGATACCAGAAGTTTTTTTCTTTATTGTATTTTTCTGGGTTGTTTGATCCTTTTTGTTTTATTAATATAAATATATAAGACTAAGCAATACTAATAAGTAATGAGATCTGAAAAAACACAGGGTTTTTTGTCATAATATCTTCCAACTGGAGGCAATCCAACTGTCCCATCAGCAGGAAAGTGGAGAAATAATCTGTGTTATGCCCTATACTGGAATACTATACATCAGTGAAAAAGAAAGAACTGTTGTACTCAGCAAATGTGGGTAAATATCACAAATGAATGTTGAGCAAGAGAAACTGGACATGAAAGAGTATATACTGTGTGATTCTCTTTTTTTGAAGTTCAGGAAAAGGTCAAACTCATCTGTGTTGATGGAAGTCAGAATAGTGGTTAGAGGTTAGAACTAGAGGAGCAAGACTTCTGGAGTGCTGAAGTGCTCTGTATCTTCATGTGATCGCTGGTTACATGGGTGTCTACATAGTAAAAATTCATAAATACATTTTCGTATTTATGCATATCTTAATTAAGAAAAGTAAAACACACTAAGCTAGTAAAAAAGAAAAAAGAAGTTTTAAAAAGTTTAATGCTCATATGAAAAATCTTTATGCTTCCAAGGATACTTAATATCACTTCTGAAGACAGTTTTCTCTCTACCTTCATGTTTGATAACTGCGCTGTATCACTTCGTGTGTATCATAATTTAAGCCATCTCATGGGACACTTAGGTTGTTTCTAACTTATATGTTGTAAACAATGATAGAGTTGATGTCTTTTTTTTTTTAATAGGTCTTTCTATTCTTTTCTGATCATTTCTTTTTTTTGAATTTCTAAAGAGAGGATGGACTACTTGTTTGGAGGTTAAGTACATTTGCATTCTTGCCCATGGTATATAATTGTTTATTTCTCTATGCTCTTAATGACTTGGTGATTAGCGTGAAAAACATATATATTGACCTGTTGTGTAATAAGTTTTCCTTGTTTTAATTTGCATATTTAAACATTTTCAGTGAAATTTATATTTCCATGTTTTTGGACATTTGTGCTGCAATTTCCTTTTCATATCATTTACTCATATTCTTACTGCTCAGTCTTTTAAAAATCTTTTGAGGAAATAAATCAGATAAACAAAAAAGTACATAAAGATCAATACAGTTAACTCCAACTTAGGAAATGAAACATAACTAGTGTAGTTGAAGCATCCTATTGACATTAATAACTTATAAAAGCTCTTCATGTATGAAGAATATTGTCTTTGTTGCTTGTTGTAGATCTTTTCCCTATTTTATTTTTTGTCACCTAACTTAAACTATTTTATTAAATCTAAGTTGATTTCAATTGTAAGATAAACAATTTTTTTTTACATTTTTTATTGATTAATAATCATTTTACAGTGTTGTGTCAAATTCCAGTGTTCAGCACAATTTTTTAGTCATTCATGGACATATACACACTCATTGTCACTATTTTTTTTTCTCTGTGATTTGTAAGATAAACAATTTTATGTACAATTAAGGATAGAAACATACTGTCAGTTAAACCATGACGTTTAATTTTAAGAGGCATCCTGATATCAGAGATGTTAAATGGTGAGAAAATATTCATCCTAGAATTGATGAAGTATTTGTTTTACTGTCTGTATGTGTCTTATGCTTTTTTTTAGTCAAATTTTCAGTCTTTTGTACTGTTGCTGTTTCTGCTGTCAGTCCTCTAAAGACTTTCGCATGCCAACATTAAAAAAAAA